TTAATTTTTTTTAAATGGATCACTAAAATCGTATAATTCAGCAATACAACCATGATTTTTACTAGCAATTGAATAATATAGGTACTACTAAGTTCTGAGAAACAATTATTCAATCAAAAAAAAAATCTGCAAAACAAAAATAAAAAAAATAAAAATAAATTAAGCACTAAAATCTGCAATGAATTGATAAACATAAATTATTACCCAATCTTATAATAAAATCAGCAAATATTGCATGCACACTTCATGAATGGATGAATTTCATAGATCTGCAATTACAAGAGGTCGAAGAGGAGAGAGGATGAAGCATTACCCCGAGATTCATTACTCTCTATTTGAAAGAAAGTTTGTTTCTATGGAAATTAGAGAAAATTTCTTACCAAAAATATATATTTATGGTTGAAAAATACTAATTAAACAAGGTAAAATCCGTATAATTTACTTTTAGTTTTCAATTTGTGCTGAATTATTATGCTAACATGTCAGCAATTAGAAAAGCCTAGTCTAAATATAATTAGAATTATATATACGACATTATCCAAAATGCAAATATGGAAATAATTCAATAATCTTATAAAAATTTAGACAACAATTCTGAACGATTAGGACACCCATCAAGCATCAACTACTTCTGTCTATATAAACCCAGGAATTGAACTCGTAAAAATCATATTGTCATCATACAAAGTAGAATATTAAAAACTAGAGAGCACTTGCAAAAATCATACTACAAAAAAAACTAAAAAAGTCAATATAATTAATCATGGAGGGAGTAGAGAAGAGCGAAAACACTAGCTTCGACATAGAAAGTGGAGGAGAAAAGAACCAAAACGTGATTATTGATAGCAATATTATCGTTGGAGATAAGAATGAAAACGCCGGACATGATAATAATGTTAACAACGAGCTTCCGGCAACCTCGAACCGAAAGGGGAAGTGGTGGTACGCTGCCATTCACAATGTTACCGCCATGGTTGGTGCGGGTATTCTCAGTTTACCTTATGCCATGTCTCAACTTGGATGGTATGATTTTTCTTTCCTCTGCCATGTTTTTTTTTTAATGCAACAAAATAATGCAATATCAATCACAATTATTGTTGCACTACAAATTAAAACGATTAAGCAATGATTTTGGGAATTTGTCTCTACACGATTTTCATTCTCTTTCCCTAAGAAGATTTTCTTTAATTTCTCGCGGTATACTTGTGTTTTTTCTTTTTCGCGGTATAATAAAAATATGAAGATATATGAGTATTCAGAACGAACATATAATATTATGTCTATGACTCATAAGTGATCCAATAAAATATGAATTAGCAACCTTTTCATTTTGGATACTAATTGATCAATCTGTATTTATTTTTGACAAATTCAATATTGTTATAAATTAGTAATGTAATAAGATTGAATATCATTATATGATACGGAGGAATTTGATTTTATTATAATAAAAATATATAAACATAAGTAAAATATAGTTTAGGAGATTGTGTACTCGTATGATTAGTTTCTATAATAATAAAACAAATGACATTGAATGAATGTTTGTATTTCAGGGGTCCTGGTGTGACAATTTTAATACTTTCATGGATTGTAACATTGTACACACTCTGACAAATGGTGCAAATGCATGAAATTGAGCCTGGAAAGATATTTGACAGATATTATGAATTGGGACAACATGCTTTTGGGGAAAATTTTGGATTATGGTTTATAGTCCCACAACAAATTATGGTTCAGGTTGGTTGTAATATTGTGTATATGATAACGGGAGGAACTTCCCTATAAAAGTTTACAATATTCTAGTACCAAATGGAACCCCAATTAAGCGTACCTACTTTATCATGTTATACGCTTTAATTCAATTTTTTCTATCCAACCTACCAAATTTTAATTCAATCACCGGAATCTCCTTCATTGCGGCTATTATGTCTCTTAGGTGAGTTTTCACATCTTTTAATTGCATTGATTCTAACTTGAGTTTTTTATTTGTCTTGTAAGTTTTGAGTTTTGAAATTTTAACACCATATTATTAATGGATTGGAACTTGAGTTTGAGTTTTTTTTTTTTTTCGAACGGGATTTTGAGTTTTGAAATTCTCATTAGCATGTTTTTTTTAAAGAAAATTGTCAACAGTTTATTTATTTATTTAATGATTTTGTAATTTTGGAAATACGTATACATATAAGTAAATTTAACTTTAACCAAATATTAATGGATTTCAATTTATCAATTGAATTTAATATGTTTTACTCCAGAATTTTAAATTTATAGCTAGTTAAAATGTCTATGTTATTTTAAGAGAGAGTAGATATTTTAATTTGTTAAAGATTATTTAAAATATTTTGTGTTGGATATTGACTAAATATTTTTCATTAAATCTAGCTATTCTGCCATCGCTTGGATAGCTTCATCTATAAAAGGAGTGCAATTGGATACAAGTTATTCGAGTAGGTATAGCACTAATGCAGCTCAAATCTTTGGATTTCTGAGCGGGTTGGGAACAATTGCATTTGCCTTTTCTGGGCATAATGTAGTATTGGAGATTCAAGCTACGCTTCCTTCTACTCCAGAAAAACCTTCCAAATTATCCATGTGGAAAGGCTCATTAGCTGCCTACATAATGGTGATGCTATGTTATTTTCCGGTAGCCATTGTTGGCTATCTTGTATTTGGAAGAGTGGTGGAAGACAACATTATGATATCACTCGATAAACCTGATTGGCTCATTGTTAGAGCAACTACAATGGTTGGCTAATTCATATAATAGCTTGTTATGTCAAATCATCTTTGTAAGCTACAATAATTCTAGCTATTTGTTGCTCCAATGGTTAAACTAGTTATAAATTAATTTATTTTTAAATTTAAAATATTTTTTATCTAATAAATATCTACCAAGCTAATTAGCTCTACAAAGCTAATTTGCTTGCCAAAGCTAATCAGCAAGATGTGCAACAATGGTATAGCTATTAGTTTAAGAATTTTAATATTTGCAAGCTAGTCCCTTTTTTCAACCATTGGAGTTGCTCTTATTGCCAATATCTTTGTTGTTCTACACGTCATTGGGAGTTATCAGGTATTTTGAAATATAAATTACTTTATTATTTTTTTTTTCAAATCTTTCATTAAAAAAAAACCTAATAAATTTCTATTATTAGGTTTATGCAATGCCAATGTTCGACATGCTCGAATCTTTTATAGCGCAAAAAATGCAACGCAAATTAAGTAACATGCTTCGCCTAGTAACCCGTTCTATCTATGTCAGTAAGTTGTTTTTGTTTTTTTTTATTTTCTTTTCATATATTCATTTTATCAAGTAGGTAATGCTTGTAAAAATAAAAAATAAAATACAAATGAAAACCACTAAATAATCGTAAATCATATTCATTTTAAGAAAAATTAACTTTTATAATAGTATTAATTGTCAATTTTTAAGATGGAATACTTTTACATTATAATTCATTGTAATACAATAACAATAATAAAATTATTATATGATACCTTTTGCAGGAATTACTATGTTTGTGGGAATAGCGTTTCCATTTTTTGGTTCTCTTCTTAGCGTACTATGTAAGTTTATATTTTCAAATCTTTCATCATTTTCATATATTGTTTTTTTTTTTTTTTAATGTGTCTGATATTATATTTTACTAATACATTGTATATGTTTTACAGTTACCTTGCATAATGTGGTTGATAATATGCAAACCCAAAAGATACAGCTTATCTTGGTTTTGCAACTGGGTAAGTTTTTAACTTCAAATTTCATTAAAATATTTTTTTTTTCACTTATGTTCCTATTTTTATACAAGTACTTATTCTAATTTTTAATTATTTTTTTTACCTTGCAGTTCTGTATTATGTTTGGCGCATCACTGACGATCTTAGCCCCCATTGGAGCTATAAGAGATATCATAATGCAAGCTGGATCGTATAAATTTTTTTCTTGATCAATGTTAGATTTTAGTTAGGGATAATAGGACATTAAAAAATTTCAATCCCACCGATTTTTTTAGGGGATTATCTACTTCGTATATTTAGGAAATAATGATACACTACTTTATTTTCTAATATGTGTATTGTGTTCGATAAACAATGAATGATAATTTTTTCCAGAATTTTTTATTCACCATTTTTTTATTCACTTTTTTCCATAAATTATTTATTCACAATCAAATAATTTTGTTTTAATTAGAGTGTGGAATAGCTCAAGTGGTTAGAGCTTCCTTCCGATTCTAGGAGGTCCTAGATCAATTCTCACCCCCGCCCTTGTGGCTCTCTAAACACAAAAAAAAAAATATTGTTTTAATTATGTCTCTATTATAATAATTTTGTACATAATCTTTAAAAATAGTTGAATTTAAAGCACCTTTTTTTATAGTTCACAAATTATCAAACAAATAAATCTCGCTATCCAAATTTTTGTTATTTAACCATACTAAAAATGTGTTTAAAGACAAGTTAAATTTTTATTACGGACAAAAGCAGTACTATTTTTTTTTAAATGGACAAAAGCAGTACTATACTATAGTAACAGCATACTAAATATGGAGTGCTTAGATTTATTCAGCTTAGATAACCTTGTGTTTTTAACAAAAAATTATTTTTATATACTTCGTAATAATCAAAAAATTGTTTCGACCTCAGATTGTTACATGAAGGAAACTCCAAACAAAATATTAGTTAGAAGACACCTCAATAAACGTGTCTTAAAAACAGAAAACTTTAAGGAAGTTAATTAATAAACACACGTCTTAGCAATGGCTAAAATCCATATATATAAACTCAAAAATAGATTAAAATTTTCATAAAAAAAAAAAATGTTGTGACATTTGAAACAAATAAGTAGATGCAGCAAGAATTAAGGATCTATAATATTAACATAAACAACATCAATAATGGTGGTTAATGATAGGGAAAACGCAGAACATGATAATAATATCAACGATTGGCTTCCGATAACGTCGAATCGGACGGCAAAATGGTGGTATTCCGCTATCCACAATATTACTTGTATGGTTGGCGCTGGTATCCTAGGACTTCCTTATGCCATGTCTCAACTTGGATGGTACGTTTTTCGTTTCCAATCCCCATTTTATGTTCGATTGCTAGGTAATTCACATTTGCGTGTATATAAATCTAGCTTCAATTCATTTATGCTTTGAAAAATCACCTTTTAATTATATGATCACATTTGTTTATTGGGATCGTCATAATTTCACAAGTTTCTTTTACCAATCATATTATTATTACTAGTGATTCTAAGTTTTTTACGGGTGGTTTTAAATAAACAAATTTAAAAGAGTGGGCAAATTAATTTTAGGTGATTTTAGTGGTGGTTATTTACTATTGTTCTTAAAACTAATCTAATGATCAAATAGACAATTAATTAATTAAAAGTATACCATGATTAATTCTTACAAGAAGACGAAATTGTTATTTCTGCATATGTATTGTTCTAAAGATTTGAGTTGTTTGTCCTACAACTCATGATCAGGCGATCTAAAGTGGTGGATCATCTCATGTTCCCCTAGTGGCCTGGTGCGATCTGTAAGTCCAAAAATTAGAATGCATACATGTTTATATTTCGTTACACTTTTAACTTTGTGAAAGGGAAAATTTGCTTTTTTCTTTTAAAATATTTTTAGAAAAAATAAATAAATAAACCGACCTAGTAAATTAAACATCCTATTTTTGTTTTTGCCTTACATTGCACCTAAACTTTTGAAAATCGAAATTTTAGAATTAATTAAGATGCACGATAATAAGACACCTGAATTTTTAATTTAATGATCTTATTAGTGAAATATGATGATCGACGAACAAAACATGGATAATTGTTGTATGTGTTTCAGGGGTCCGGGTGTGACAATATTAGTATTGTCATGGATGGTAACGTTATATACATTATGGCAAATGGTGGAAATGCATGAAATAGTACCGGGAAAAAGGTTTGATAGGTATCATGAGTTAGGACAATACGCATTTGGAGACAAGGTGGGGCTTTGGCTTGTGGTGCCTCAACAAGTGATTGTTCAAGCAGGTTGTGACGTCATCTACATGGTAACAGCAGGAAGATCACTTATGAAGTTCTACAACATTAGTTGTCCTGACTGCAAACCCATCAAGCTCACATACTTCATCATGATGTTTGCTGTCGTTCAATTCTTCTTGTCTAACCTACCTAACTTCAACTCCATCGCTGGTGTTTCCTTTGCTGCTGCTATCATGTCCCTCAGGTAGATTGTTTATTCATGTTATTTATGGAATTGAGGGTTTAATGATGACATTTATAGGCTCATGGTATAATAATAATAATAATAATAATAATAATAATAATAATAATAATAATAATAATAATAATAATAATAATAATAATAATAATAATAATAATAATAATAATAATAATAATAATAATAATAATTAATTAATTAATTAATTAGAGGCCTAATTTGTACTCTCTCAAAATAATTGACATGTTTTAGCCAAGAACTCATATCCATGCATAACTTTGAACATTACTAAATGGAAATTACATTACTAAAATTTATAAAAATTTGGTATTATGAAATATATTTTATTACTAGCTATTTATTATTTAACAAAAAATAACATAATATTTGAGGTTAATTTTAGTTTAGTATGCAATGGTATGGTGTTAGGGTGACAATGGTGTATAAAAATACGGTATAAATTAAAAAATACAATTTTTTGTATGCAGCTGGTCACATGGTGCGGCAAGTGTTACTTGTAGGGTGTTACTGGTTTTGTCAGGGGGTGTTACTTGTATTTTAGGGTTACTTATATGGGTGTTACTGGTTTTGGTCAGGGGTTACTTGCAGGGTGTTACTGGTTTTGTCAGGGGTTACTTGTAGGGTGTTACTGGTTTTGTCAGGGGTTACTTGTAGGTGTTACTTGTATGGGTGTTACTGGTTTCGGTCAGGGGTTACAAGTAACACCAAACAAGTAACTCATACAAGTAACCCCAAAATTAAATACAAGTAACCTTAGAATACAAGTAACCCTAAAATACAAGTAACACCTTACAAGTAACCTCTGCCGCACCATGTGACTTGCCGCACTGAAAAACCTCTGATTAAAAATTAAATAGCTCAAAAGGTTAAACAAGCCAATTTTTTTTTTATTACGTGAGTATTGTACTGTTTAATTTTCAAGGATTCATTGCAAAAGGTGGATTTTGATATTTCAATAATCAATAAGATGATGCAATTTAATTATTATTACAATATCTAATTACTTTTTTGAAAATTGTGACTTGGAAATTTTGGATATGCTGATCATATTATTGGGAACTATAATGTAAAATTGTAAAATGAAGCTTTATTCACCCTTAAAAGAAGACATGCTTTTTTTTAACCTTATTAGGGCTCTTAGAGGGTCATGTAGGATACAAATTCTTAAATGAACTAGGTTCACACTAATTTATTATGGACCACCAACATTAGAGACAATAGGATTGTTTTATTAATAAAATAAAAAGATGACTATATTAAAATAAAGGTGATTATGTGAAATAAAAGTTAGTGTGACATTATAAAAGCTATAAGAGGTTAATTTTGTAAATGAAATTTTTAATATAATGGTCAATATGAATAATAAAGATCATTATGTTAAAATTAGGTCAATATTCAACATAATGTCGTAATTTAAGTTCATCATAGCATTAAAGGTCACACAAGTTTTTAAAAAGGTCACTATGTTAAAACTAAGGTTACTATATTAAAATTAGAGGTCACTATATGTTGAATATAATGTCAGTTACGTGTGTATAAACCTTAGGTCCATAATAATATTATTATGGACCAGGTCTACGCAAGATTTTCTGCATATACGATGCACCCTAAACTTAATTTTTAATTTGTATCATCATGATTATTTCAGTTATTCGGCCATTGCTTGGGTAGCTTCGGCACTAAGAGGAGTACAACCAGACACGGATTATGGTAGCAGGTATCACTCGAGTGCAGGGAATATATTTGGTTTTTTAAGTGGATTAGGAACAGTAGCATTTGCATTTTCAGGACATAGTGTTGTTTTGGAGATTCAAGCAACTATCCCTTCAACTTCGGAGATTCCATCAAAAATACCTATGTGGAAAGGATCTCTCCTTGCTTCTATAGTTGTGGCTCTATGTTATTTTCCAATTGCTTTTGTTGGTTACCTTGTGTTTGGTAACAAAGTTGAAGATAACATCCTCATCTCGCTTGAGAAGCCAGGTTGGCTTATCGCCTCTGCCAATATATTTGTTGTTATTCATGTAATCGGTAGTTATCAGGTACAAAATTCGAAACTATGGTTTTTAATTGTTAGCATGTCTTATATTTGAGAATCATTTCATTCTTCTTACTATAGTTTACTCCTATTTGTAGGTATTTGCAATGCCAATATTTGACATGCTCGAGTCATTTCTTGTGCTGAGGATGAAGTGTAAACCTAGTAGCACACTTCGCATTCTAACTCGCTCTTCATTTGTTGGTATGTAGTATATTTATATCCACTTTCAAAATTTCCACCCAATATTGTTTCTTGGTAATAAAAATACACCATCATTGTGCAAGAGTACTTCTTGATCTTACAAAGAAGGCCTTATAAATGATCATAATTGGATCAAGTTAATATTTTATTCATTGCTTAATTACTGACGAGATATCTAGAAATTTAATCATAAATATATACTTGTATTAGAAAACATGATTTAAAACACAAAATGTAGTTCTTTCACTACTATGTCCTACTAATTCATGACAAAATAAGTATATAAAACATTAGAGTTGTTGATAACAATTTTTGTACTCTTTCATGCAGCCGTAACCATGTTCATTGGGATAATATTTCCATTCTTTGGCTCGCTTCTAAGCGTCTTAGGAGGAATAGCCTTCGCACCCACTTCATATTATGTGAGTCTCTATCACTACACCATATACTAATGCTATCAAATTTGCGAAGTTGATCACACATTATCATTTTACTTGACTTGCAGCTTCCTTGTATTATATGGCTAATAATATGCAAACCCAAGAGATACAGTTTATCCTGGTTTTGTAATTGGGTTAGTTCTCAGCTCCAAGCTCTATCTTTATACAGTTACGGGGTATTTGTTTATATTTTCAATTGAGTCTTATAAACTTTATCATTTATTATTGCAGTTCTGCATTGTTTTCGGCGTGTCCTTGACAATATTATCTCCCATTGGAGCTGTAAGGGATATCATAGTTCAATTCAAAACTTATAGATTCTTCTCTTAAGCCTTAACCACTTCTCTGTTTGGATCCGGCTACTTTTTTTTAGCGGATCATCTTGTGGTTAATATGTAATGATGCACTAATGTTTAATTTGACGTAGTTATGTAGGAAAATTGGTTTATAGGCAACCTGATGTGTAACAGCGAATTCTTGTAGTACTAATTTAATCGCCTCTCCCCAAGGTTTCACATTACAAGGGGAGTTTTTCTTAATTGGTTTGTTATTATACCGTGATCACTATGGCCTTTCATGTTCAAACGTTAGATTAACGCAACTACGCAAGTTTTGGTTGTAGTACGGAGTAGTAATGTCAAGGTGTCAAAAACTGACCCAACTCGATCCAATCCGAAGGTAATTCAATCCAGTTTTGACTTGTTTATGTAGGCACAATAATTTAACATGATTCAAATTCGAACTAGATTTATTCCGACCCGACTCAATCGAATTTGACTTAGCTACCCAAATTGACACCAATATATTTCTCTCTTTATCACTATTTATCACTAGTAATCTTTACAAGAGCTTATAGTTTTGTACTCATTGAGCAATTTAATTTAAAGTGTGGGTTAGGAAGGGTGAAGCGGGGCAGCCTCTTCATATCCTTAGGGCTGCCTCAGAGCCCCTATATTTGGGGTTATGGACCCAAGCATGCCAATGATTTAATAATAATATGGTTTAAATGTTTAATCATATTTGAAACTTTCTTATATGGTACGGAGTACACAAATATTAACACCTAAGGTAGTAAGGTCATAACAAAACATAATAAATAATTGTATTAAAACAGAGGTGTTAAATCTGACCCGACCCGACTAAACTCGACTTGAATGTCTTAGACACAATAATTTAACGTGATAACTCAAACTCGAACTAAATTCGACCCAAATAGACCCAACTGAACTCGACCTAACCCGACCCGAATTAACACCTCATGCATGTTAAACCCGCGCAACGATTTAAACCAACTCTATCCATTAGCACCAACCTTACTCCATCTTCATGAGTGAAGCATTTCTTCTTCACTCACTTCTGCACTAAAACATGCATATCCTTCAAACCTCTCAATTCCTCCCACTCTCTCTCCTCTCTAAAACCCCCTTTAAACCCTCAATTTCCAATCTCCAAAACCCTAATTTCTTCCCCAATTTCTCTCTTCTCTCTTCTTCTTCAACCTCTTCTCTTCTTCCCAAACCCCCAAATGCCTATGCTCCCGATGAAGTCCCAGTTGACGAGACATTCCTCGAGCAATTCGGGCCGAAAGACTCGGAAACCGAGGAAGAAGCCCGAAAGCGGAACTGGGTTGAGCGGGGTTGGGCGCCATGGGAGGAGATTCTCTCTCCTGAAGCCGATTTCGCCAGAAAATCACTCAATGAAGGGGAAGAAGTTGCATTGAAAGACCCTGAAACAATTGAGGCATTCAAGATGTTGAAACCCAGTTACAGGAAGAAGAAGATGGAGGAAATGGGGTTGACTGAGGATGACTATTTTGCTAAACAGTTTGATATTAAGGGTGAGATTTTGGAGCCTTTGAAGACTTACTGGGATGGCCCCTTGGTTGTTCGCCACGTTGCGCCTCGCGATTGGCCGCCTCGGGGTTGGGAGGTTGATAGGAAGGAGCTGGAGTTTATTAGGGAAGGTCATAAGATGATGGCTGAAAGGGTTGATATCAAGGATTTGGATAATGTTATTAGGGAAAAAGAAGGGATGTCTATGGATAGGTATAAAATGTTTCTTAAGCAATACCAGGAGTGGGTTGAGTATAACAAGGATAGATTGGAAGAAGAGTCTTATGAGGTTGTTTTTCTCTCACTTTCTCTTGTTTTTCTAGCAATAAATTGAGCATTATTGCCATGAATTTGTGTTTATTGATGTGTTACATTTGGCTAATGAGAACCCAAAATTATATTCTTTTTCAAGGCATTTGAATGATTCTATAATTGGAATTTTGCTCCTTAGTTTTTAGATTATGATTGACCCAATTTAGATTGTGTTGATATCATGCTAGAGTAGTGAAACATTAACAATTCTAAGGATAAGGTTGTGTGCTTCTATATCTACCACGCCAATTTGTAGATGAATTAGGGAGTGTTGTCGTAATGTGTTAGTTTTGTGTGGCATCTTTTGATGAAATTAGATTAGATCTTTAGAAGTTGCCTATTGATTTATGCTGTTTAGGCTTCAGTTTGTGTAACGTGTTGTTTGGTTGGTATATTGTAATTGTTAATGCTATGGTTTTGCTATTGTTTGTGAGTTGTAACTAATAAGAATGATTCACTCATTCATATTGCTTAAGTCTTGAAATTATCAATGTTTATGCAGCATGATCAAGATTATCACCCAGGAAGAAGGAAACGAGGAAAAGATTATGTGGAGGGAATGGTAGGTTGTTGTTTATTGACTAATTATAACTTATATGTTGTTACATGACATGCAGAGCCCTTGATTGATCATCAATTTCCATTTTTGCAGTATGAACTACCGTTCTATTATCCTGGACAAGTAAGTTATTCTGGACTCTCTTGAGTAGTTGGCTATAACTGTAGATGAAGCTTTCTAATTAGAAGTATGGCTTGCATTTCTTTACTGGTATCTGCTGGACCACCAATCTCTAGATTTTTACTGGTTTGAGTGAGATGCTCTCTGTCTCCTGATCAAATGTGGATGTTACATTCATCCATCCATCTCTTACTGGTTTTTTTTCTTGGCTAATTGATGACTGCCTGCAATTGCACTCACGTAACAGATCACACTTGACACTATATCTTTGGATGCAGATCTGTTTTGGCCAGGTGACTACGTTACACCTATATCAAGGAGCATTTGTGGACATTGGAGGAGTGTATGAAGGGTAATCTATCCATCTTCTTGGTCTTCTTTCCTTCTTTCTATATTGCTTTTTACTCCCTTTTCTTAAATCTGAGATAGCATTGAAAAGAACACAATCCAACCTTTTTAGTTTATTTGTTTCTCTAGTTTTGTTGGAAAATAAAATTCCTTATGACGGTTCATGTTAGCCGACCCCAAATCATTCTGGGACTAATGTTTTGTTGTTGTTGTTGTATGTAGTCTACTGCATGATTGTCAATTCTTCCTTAAATAATTAAGCTTCTACCCTCGCTCCCTAGTTTACAAAACTGAATACCCCTATCTTCTTGTTTCATTTGCAATAAGATTTTTTTTCCTTGTCTGTATGATTAGTTTACTCGCCAATTAGAACACTTTCAAATCTTTGGAGTTTTTTTTTTTCAGTTCCTTTGGGCCACTTTGTGAAAACTGAGAAACTTTTTTTTTTTTTTTTTTTTTGTGTGTGTGTTGGCCATATGTAACTATTATCATAGTTTTAGTATCATCTTCTAATATTCCCTTTGCAATTTTATGCTTGGTATACATCATTAATTTATTAGTTAGGAGAATATAGTTGTTAATTGTCACTATTGTAGTATTGTCATCTCATTAATACAATAACACAAGCAAATCCTCAATCCCAAAGATGGTGTCAACGGCATGAGCCAAGATTTTATTTTCAGAACTCGCCAACCATGATCCTCTCCTTTTATTCCTTTCTGTCCAATGTTATACGCTTCTACAAACCCAACTTCTCCATGTCCTTAAACTCATTCCATCCAAGACATTATTGGTCTTCCCTTTCTTCTTATAAAGATCCCCTTGCCTCAACCCTCAACTATCCTTACTCCAATCTCCGCTTCTTCCAATCTCCACTTGAATACTTAACCCAACACGATTGGTTCTCCCTATTCTTTATACTCGTTGACTTATTGTCATCTCATCATAATAGAGAAAAATATTGGTGCATTATGTATGAGATGGAAAAACAAAGAAATGCAACTATTTACCCATTATATTGGAGTTTTAAACAAGTAATATAGTTGTATTATAATTGTGCTTCAGTGTGAGAGAAATGTGTTTTTCCCCAATTTATTGTGGTTTGGGTAAAATCTGTTGATTAGTTGATACTTATTGTGCAACCGGAAAAATGATACATCTAGGAAGGATAAAAAAAAATCTGTTTTCTTATAATTGATAAAATTAACCTTCATCCCGGCTACTCGTTATCCTAAGCATAGTATGTCCAATGTGAATTGTTCCTACACTTTACATACTCAAGCAGCCTATTCAAACAAACAATTTTCTGATTTTACGCAGTATCATTCATAAATAACACTTTTCTTTATCTATATGATTTTTGTGGCTCTTACATCAGTTATATGAATATTGAAATTGCATGCACTATTCTTCATAATGTAAATTTTTATAACATGGAAATGAGAGGCGTGCAGAGGGAGGGCCAACAATCCTCCTGGGTCAAAGAAAAAAGAAAAACAGCACTGCAGTCATTGTACATATAAGAAAAGAATTCTTGGTTATAGGTAATCCCACCGGTAAGAAGCTACTCTCTCCCGCAAAATAAAATCACAAGACCCCAGATCTAAAGATTCAATCACCTGTCCAGAAAACTCACCAACATGATACCAAAGGAAACTGATTGCTCTATTATCTTCTCCTCCTTGAGCACAGTGCACTTATGTGTTATGCTGAAAGTCAGTAAGAAACCTTAGGTGCTGTAAATTGGCAGCAGGACATCCCCAATGGATAACCCCTGCCATTTCTAAGAACTGGTTCCATGGTTAACAACTGGCTTAGAGAAAGGGATTAACTAATTAGGTAAGGTAGAAACTCATAAAATAAGCCAGATTAGAGAGAGGAAGGATATATGCTAAACATAATTGAGGGTTTTCTGTTAGGTATTTTATGATTTGGGAGAGAGCAAGCCTCTCGAAAGCATATAACCAAACTAATCTACTGCTGTTTTTTAGATATGATCCACCAATGTTCATCTTCTATTCTTCTTCACTTAATCTCTATATTTGATCTTTGAATCTGTCTGAAGCTAAGTTGATTCTTAGCAAATACTTGCCTTTGTTAGTTATAGCATCTAACCTTTGTCTGAGAGTTTCCCTACTAATATGCTTTTGTGCACCATCCGTTTCAGGTGGGTTCCTATAAAAAACAATGATTGGTACTGGATTCGCCAGCACATAAAAGTTGGTATGCATGTTATGGTTGAGATTTTGGTGAGTAATTCAAATATTTGTTTGTGCATTGCTTCTTTTTGTTTAACCCTCCTCTTTGAAGAACTGAGGACCCACACATTTTGACTTTTGAGCACTCCTATCAATATTGCCCCTCATTTTTTATAACAAGTTATAAGCTTGCCTTATTAACTTTGCTCTAAATTCATATGGAGTTGCAACAGAATTTTGAGATAGTTACAGGACTTGTGGCATGAACTCATGAGCAGTCAAACTTGTATTTATCCATTCTATCCTCAACTTCATGCATCATAATTTATCCCGGTGTGTGTGTGTGCGCGCACGCGCACGTGGGTGTGGGTATGTGTGCGTGGGACTATTATTTATCCATTCTATCCTCAACTTCATGCATCATAATTTATTCTGGGGTGTGTGTGTGTGTAGTCTGTGTGTGTTATATTCGCACTTGTGTGTTTGTGTTGTTCTGTAAGCAGCACCTGAACTTGAATCAAGAGACCCATTATCAAAGTCTTTTTCTAATTTCTGTTATAATACATCTGCTTATGATGCAAATTGGTCAGAAGTTCCTCATGTTCTGATGCTGTAAACTGTTGCGCTGTTTATGTTCCTTTCTAAATCTAAGGATACTAAATACTTCATAGAAATTTGCAAGGGAGATTAAAGACTTCAGATACATAAACAGATTGTCAATTAGTCTTCAAATTTGTATATTTGCATGTTCCAGTGTGCTTTTATCTTGCTAGTAACTGGACATATTAATGGCTTTGTGTCTGACATGTTACTTTGCATTTCAGGCTAAGAGAGATCCTTATCGGTATAGATTTCCTCTTGAATTACGTTTTGTCGACCCAAACATTGATCATCTTATGTAAGCAGTTCCCTTCCTCATTAATTTCCTCAAAATTTTAGTACTCTATTATTTTATTGTCAATTGCTTGTCAATAATTTGATGCTTGAATTCTCCTTGCTCAAAACATTGGTCTCCATTTTGCAGCTTTCAAAGGTTTGAATATCCACCAATATTTCATCGTGATGATGATACAAATCTTGATGAATTACGAGTAAGTATATTACTTCTCTCCATAGCTTGCCGTGTTTTATATACCAAGAAACATCGATGCTTATTTGCAATGTTTGCTACTTTGCTCACAGTCTCACACTATACATTTGGCGTCTTGGCGATGTATCCTAACTCTTTGACCCATTGTTTCTCCAAGGCTTTTTACCCCCTTCCGTAGCTTATGTCAGTAGTAAAGAAGCCAAAAGTCTATGATTGCAGAGAGGTTGTTACAGACCTTACAGTTCAATCCTTGATCTGAAAAACTAAAGCAATGTCTGGCGAACTTTTCTCTAGCCGCAATCCAGCATAGACCTATATATATATATATATATATATATATATATATATATATATATATATATATATATATATATATATATATATATATATATATATATATATATATATATATATATATATATAACAGTCATTTTGAAGTTATTAATCGCTTTTGACTTGCCTATGAACCTATCCACTCTCCAGACTTTTCTTTGGCATCTAGGATATCGTCCCAATTACTAATTAATGACCAACCTAATTCCGGCTAGCAGTTATTAATCGTGAAGGGTACGTCTTCATTCCAATCTTAACCTTCGGCTTTGTTTTTCATTGGTTTATAAGAAAAGAAGTTGGATCCATTGTTCAAGTTGTTAATTCCCCCGCTGAAAGTTGGAGTTTGGTTTGATTTCAAATTTTAAATGGTCTAAAGCTGTTCTCAAACAAATCACATTTGCATGCGGTGATTTTAATAGATATAAGCGAGTAGGTGACTAGGTGATTGTGTCATATCTTATTTGAAAGATTTTCCTGTTTGTACTCTAAATTGAAGCTGCTTTGTATTCAGCGTGATTGTAGAAGGCCTCCTGTTCCCAGAAAAGATCTAGGAATCAAAGTAGAAGAAGAGTCTCTTTTGTCTGATCATCCATATGTTGACAAGGTAAAAACAAGGTTGATGCTGATTTTCCAGACTCTTTCACTATCTTATGTTTACATCTTAAATATTTTAATCGTTATTCAATGAAAAGATAAACTTTGTATCTTGAAGAAACAGTACATAGCGTAGTCAGTTAGTTGTATAACTATTCTGTTTATAGGGAACAAACAACAGTCTATGCACTGATTTTGTTGAAGTGAAGAGCCACTGCAAGTAGTGTGGAATGTAGATTAGATAATTTTGACATAAATCAGAAACGTATCTAGAAAGAGAGAAATTTAGAAGAAAGTGAACCTCTTACATCACCATGCCCCCATTAATTGTCAAACCTGCTTGCAAGACTAAGTTCTTTAACCATTTACTTTTTCCATATCATGCAGCTGTGGCAGATTAATGTAGCTGAGCAGATGATCTTGGATGATATGGAGGCTAATCCTGACAAATATAAAGGGAAGAAACTGTCAGAACTGACTGATGAAGAAGAGTTTGATGAGAAAAATAGTGTGGAATACACAAAAGTTTATTATAAAAACTCACTGTTGCCAAAAACAATATTGGTAAGCATAATTTGTCTGCCAAATCACTAATTATAGTTTTGAGTTGGCGTGTTTGGCAGTACTACTACTGATGTTCTTCATGTGGTTGACAGAAAACAAGTGTCAAGGAACTTGATTTGGAATCAGCTTTTGCTGAGCGTCAGGTTGATCACTTGCTCCTCTTTTTAGATGTTTCATTTTCTCTACCCCTCCGTTTTAAAAGGGAAGGGAAAAAAACAAAAAAAAAAAAAAGAGAATGCGCAGAGGGAAAAGGAATTATTGGACTACTTAACAAATTGACATATTTTAGTTGCCTATGGTCATTGATAATCAGTTTATACCACCACTATGAATGAAAACATAATGTAGAAGACAGCAAGTTTTGGCACAGTTTTGTTACCTAATTACCAAGGAGATGTTATCATTTGTGTGCATTATCTTAGTGCTTTGCTTATACATGTTTTCCTTTTCTTCAGCTTCACAATAGACTTCAAAAGGAAGCAGAAGAAAGAGGGGAGAACTACAAAGTTCACAAACTAAGACGAAACTTAGAGATGGATGAGTATGATTTAATCCACTGGCGTCGTTCGTTTGAGGAAAGAGAAGCTCTTCTGCGAGATATAAGCTGGTATTTTCACTACTCTTAGGTGCATTAGCCACAAACTTTTTTCTTATTTCGGGCCTTTGACCTGTATGATCCTCCTCACCTGCATCCCAGAAAAGAACTGGGTAAGAGCAAACTGACTGTGGGTAACAAAGACTAAAAGAATATAAAGCCTGGTGTTTCTTCAATTATTGGAATTTAAAGTTATGGACAATATGACAATTTGGATGCAGTCATCATACGAAGAAAGCCAACTTATACTAGGGTTTTGAGAAATGACATTAATGTAAATTATATTTAACAAACTAAGTGCTTTAAAGTTTTGTTCTGGTGTTGAACATGTCCTTAGATTGCTTAGTACTAAGACTCGAATTTATTGCAGTCGCCGAGCTCTTGGCCTACCACTTCAAGAACCAGGGAGATATGTTGATCCCAGTATTCTTGGCAAAGATCAATATGACCCTTCTCACCCCTTGTATCGCTATGACTATTGGGGAGAGCCAAAGAACTCAGAGAAGAGTAAACAGGAGCGGATGACAGATGCTCACAACAAATCTATTGTTGGAAAGGGGAATGTTTGGTATGAAATGTCTTATGGAGACGCAATTGAGGAAATGAAGCATAGGGAAGCCCAACCAAAGGACACTGCAGAGAGGCAGACAGACGAAGATTTAGGTTTAGATGATGATAGTGATGATGATTTTGACTACAGCATTCTAAGCGACTTGAGTGCTGAGTATGCTAGCCAACCTCATGTGAATGGGACAGAATCACCCAGCATATCAGATGAGGGTATGTTCGAAGATTAGTTTGCAACTTTGCAATGAGTCAGAAGAAAAATCTGTCAGTTGTACAGTAAATATTTTATTAGGAAAGTAGGAAAAATTAGTTCACACTTCCAATAGTGTGAAAGCATTTTGAGGGGTATCGAGTATTTATAAAATTTATTATGTGTTATAATAAGATGTCTATCTCTAAACTCAAGGATATGGGCTTTTGTACAGATCGAATAGAAATGAATATTTTTGAGCATGATTTTGGCTTATGTTTGCTTTGTAAGTGGATTGAAATTCAGATTAATTTTTTGCTCTTATCTCAGTTTTGCCATTATACGTGTCTTTTCACCATAATTTGCCTAAATATAATTTGGAATGAAGGTGAGAAAATTTACTACTAATAAAAGGTTTGTTTGGTTCACCTATCACCTTATATTCACTTTTTTTGAGCTCAATAAAAATAAGTTCAAAGAGGTTTAGATAAGTTCTAATAAAGGTTAGGGCTACTAGCCTATACCATCCATTAAACGAAACTACCATTAAACGAAACTAGTTGCACACCTCCCTGCTAATGGTAACCACTAAGACAACCACCCACTGCTGCTTCCATTGGCATAACATTACTTCAACAGTCATATTGGTGATATTGCATAGGATCTGGGAAGGCAATGTTAAAGATGATCAAGAATTTAGTCAGATTTGAAGAATATGCAACACACATTATGCATAAATTAATTCTGCGACAATCAAATTAAAACATGTTGAAACTACTTATATACTACGTATACAAGTATATGACAGATTACTCTTGGTTGGGACCAGGCCGAGAGTAAACAATGAATTTGCCCAGGGCAATCTGGCGTTGCCCAAGGAGAAAACACAGTTTCTTGGTTGGGACCAGGCCGAGAGTAAACAAGCAAGTTTGCTCTATCTGGGGGGACAGGGGGAGTCTTTCTGTGCAAAGAAATTGCGGTAACCAGTAAGGCCCCCAAGGCAGCAAAATAATCTACAACACTCGTTATGCATTTGTAAGATATAGATAGCATAATATTACGCATAATGCAAAACTCTAAAAACATCAGGGTTCATTTAATTCAACTGTTACAACACTGATATATCTTAATAAAAAATGCTTTCAGCTGGCTGTCTACTCAAGGAAAACATTTTCCAGAATTCTTTGACAGTTTTCTTCCAGTGGAAAGATTAATCACTTTCAAGGAATATTAGAATTCATTTCACAACGTTCTCAATTGAAACAACATAACCTAGAGGAAAACTATGTTTTTGAAGGGAAAATTTTAGGAACATGAATCTGGATTAATCTTGCACATGCCTGCTCCAAGGCAAACCAATACAATCTGATATTGATTAGTCTTTCTGTCAAGGTTACCAGCTATAGAGCCATAGAGTGATAGGAAAAAACCGACAAGAGTTCTAGTTTCCTTCCATATCTGATATCTCAGTCTCTATTCAATAACCACAATCCAGGCCGTAAATCCAAATGAATACTAGCTAATCTGATACCAGTGAACCTCTTACATCACCATGCCCCCGTCAATTGTCAAAACCTGCACTCAAGATATTGAATCAATATGTTCGCAACAACTGAACATATCAAATGCAAAATTACAAAGTAGCGGCAATACCTGTCCAGTGATATAACTTGCGGCAGGGTTAAGTGCCAAAAATTCCACTAGTCCAGCAACTTCCTCGGGTTGACCATATCGTCCTGTAAATATTTTCCAAGACATTAGAATCACCTTTGTATTATATACTGTAAGTATAAATAGTTAAACCACCCTTCTTAAAAAAAATCCAGCTACTCATGACTCACCAAGGGGGATATTCTCCAGAATTTTCTTCTCAATGTCATCTCCAAGCTTGGCTGTCATATCAGAGGCAATGAATCCTGGGGCAATAGCATTAACCTATAGAACATTGCCAGTCAGTTACAGTGAATAAGAACACTAAAGGCATATAAAAATCTGGTCCGAGATATAGTTGTACAGTGATACTTAAAACACATATACCTTAAGCCCTGGGTGTTTGGTTCACTTTAAATAAAATTTCAGAACTGCCCTTGTACATGTTATTGCTCCCTCCTCCCCTCTCTCCTCCCAACTTCTCCATTTTTGGTGCTAACAGTGTCACACACACAACCAATTCTCTTCCTCCTACCTACTTTCCCTCTTTACTCCTACCACTGGGCAACTTCAATCTGAAGTAATGCCAACGAGATCCCCAAATGCTAGCGCCTAGCATTCTAGAAGTGCTAATCAGATCAAATCAATACTTAGATCTGGGGCACTTTATCCCCAAATGTTTGTAGTGTTGTTAAACTTCACAACATACAGTAAACCCCTAATCTGATTGCAATGGCAGTGGAGAAAAAGGGAGGGAGGAGAGGGGCCGCAACAGTGAGGGAGGGAGATGATGGTAAAATAACAATGAGTGGTAGGCGGTAGCCGCAATAATGGTATTGATTTAATTCTGGACAATAAATCTGACTCCATGGGCTTAGGTTTAAGTTCCCCCCCCCCCCCTCTCCCCTCCCAAAATATTAGATACTGTTACTCAAAACCAGTGAGCCAAATGCCCAGTTACCACAATACTCAATATAATGATATCAAAGGGAGAGAATAAAAAGGGGGGGGGGGGGACTATGTCCCGTAATTTTCTTACTGCATATATACTTTGAGCTTATATGATGATTAAGAATTTAAATACTTGCCTTAATATTCCTGCTGGCATACTCCTTCGCTACAGATTTTGTGAAACCAATAACACCGGCTTTTGCAGCACTATAGTTTGCCTGCCCAGCATTGCCCATAAGACCAACCACTGAAGCTACATTTATGATTCTCCCCTGTATATATAGTCAAATAACATCCAGAAGTAAATGAGTCACGGAAAATTCAGAAAAAGCAAAAATCATATAAGCATCATTTGATTAACATCATATTAATACTTCTTAGTTTCAGGTTATTCAATTTTCAACATGCTTAATCTTCAAAAGCAATATTTACAAATACCTTTCTCTTCTTCATCATAACTTTTGAAGCAGCCTGCAACAAGGAAACAACTCCTCATACTTACAAACTTAATAATCAATAGACCACACACCGCAAAGTATAGATGATTGCACAAACCTGAGTGCAAAGAAAAACCCCTGTGAGATTTAAATCAATGACGTCTTGCCACTGTGATTTTTTCATTCTCATCAATAAGCCATCTCGTGTAATACCTAAACAGCATGGAACATTATGGTTGTGAAATTCTCAATTGAGAAAAAAACTTAAAGTCTATAGCAGATGAGATCTATCAACTCATAATATTCAGGAGAACAAATTAGGGTCATAGAGATAAATGATTTAACCTGCATTATTCACCAATACATCAACAGTTCCCCATGCATCTACAGCCTGCAAATGCAATTTAGATAAGGTCCATCAATAAATTTCCTCTGATGGTTAAATAGAAATATTCAGATAGAAATTGTGTTTGTAGAATTATTGAAGTTTATTACAGAGCAAGGAAGCTCACAGTCTTTATCATTGATTCTACATCTTCTTCTTTTGATACATCACCCCCAAATGTAAGAGCTTGACCTCCATATGACTCAATCTGAGAGCATATTAAAACAAAAAATATTCATAAAACTAAAAGAAAAGGAAGAGATCTGAAATAAAATAATAAATGTGCATTTATATCACCAAAGCTTCAACAACAGGAACAATGTTGCTTTTATGCCAATTACTGCTCTTTATTACTCAAACTTCAGAAACAATACCGTTCAACAGCATTAAGAGAAGAGTTTGTTTTTTAATGACCGGAACTAGCTCACTGACACTATATGTACTTTCTCTGTTCACTGATTATTGCATCATTTACATTTTAAGGAAATTTCACAAATATTGCACCATACCCAATTTTAGGAAAACAAATATCTCCTACACGTGTTGCTTTAGTTACTGAATTCAATTACAAAGGCAAATTAATGATTTTGCCTCTCTCTCCTTCCGTTCCCAATACCTAAAATCTGGTATGGTGCAATATTCTGGGAGCAGAGGAAGTATTATAGTAAAACTCAAACCAATAACCAACAAATAAGAAAACGAGAAAATGGTCTCAGAGAAAGATTATTAACTAAGAGAACTTGATTTGCAAAACATTCATCTCTGATATTATATTTATGCAAACGTATTTCATAATATATTAATATTGAGCAAGGGTTTCTGACTTCCAGGTCATCACAATGGTATTTTAACATAACAGCCTAAAACTGTATCCAAGTGAAATCAACAACAATCTAGATAGCTAGACCATTAGGTCTCGTAACTCTCAGAAAGTTACTTACAAACTCATATAATTCTAGTGACATAGGAACACAACGGAGACTCATACAGCCCTTAGACAAACAAAAGCAAATGGTCAAGGACCTATGAGTACAGAAAAATTAATGATGACATGGAACAAATGCACTAACAGCAAAACATATTTTAGTAAGAAATGAAGCAACAATGATTTTAAAATCTAAATTCTGAGTTCACAAGTCCAAAAAAATTTAATAGACAAATATTGACCTCTTTAGATACTTCTTCCGCCTCTTTTGATGACCTCGCATAATTTACAAGGACCTGTAGCAATACATCCAATTCAAGTTTAATAAACAATATGGAGATGTCATGCTTAGATTGATATGAAACCCAGTTTAGTGAAAACCCTCCAGCAATCTCAGAAGGAAAAAAAAAAGTTACATTGTCTTAATATATTTTGCAATCTCATTATTTCTCTTTTACCACAACATCAAATTTTCCCAACTTTAAGTAAATTTCATTTCAAAACCCAAAACTTTCACACTCAAATGGTTAGGACTCGTAGGGGCTGATTTAAAGGTTATATTTAATTCAATATTAGCATTTCTCCTTACTACTTTCAAGCCTTTTTCAGTTAGGGTAAAGATTATCAACTCAGACAATTTACAGAATTAGGAAGAAACAAAATCAAGTTCCGTAGGAGCTTCAATTTGAGATTAGCTACACTAAATTACCCAATATGTGTTAGCTACAAACCTTACAGCCAGCCTTTCCCAACGTTAATGCAACAGCTCTCCCAATTCCTCTAGAAGCTCCAGTGACAACAACAACAGGGGATTCAACTTGTTGCACCGCATCGACAGCAGCTTGTTCAGCAGTTGCAACCTGGGCTTTAATACCTAAGTATAAGTTTAATGAAAACATCAGCATAACATCAGCACCCCTGGGTCCATCACGGAAGATTAGTCCAGTGTTGTATTGTCCATGATATTAAAAGAAATATCTATGGAAGAAAAAAAAAAAAAAAAAGAGAGTGCAATGACTACAGTCCATGCTAAAGCAAACACCGACAATAAAACTAATGCAAACTAGACAATGTTTAGCAAAAGGGATTTCAGGCTAATAGCAACGATTAAATCATCATAACACAGCTCTCCCTTGTTTCAAACAAGAAAAAGTAAGGCTTGCAAACAACCACCACCGCCCAGCAAGAATTTGCCCATGGCAAGGTTTAGGGAGTTCCAAATGTATGAATATAATTCAATATAGACCTAATGATAGTTAAAATGTAAACTAAGTACTTTTATAATTTTTGCAATATTTGAAACATTATAGTCCTTTAAAGTTTAAACATTTAAAATAGCTCAAAATGTTCTTTAACTATAAGCCTTATATCATATACCTGCACAAACATTACATTCTTTAATTTTTAGCGACTTTGAATAATATAATGCATAATTAATTTCTAGATAATAGTGACAAGATCAAAAGCATATCAGATTAATAAATTCTGGACACAAGCTGTAATATACTGATTTTCTGATTGCAAGTAGTATATAAACTAAGGATAGGTTATATTTTGATAGGTAATGGCTGAAAGGTTACAAAAGGATAGGTTAATAGCTTGATGCTATTACTCTCTTGATAACTCTAGGTTATCAGTTTATCACTCTACAAACAACTTGAGGTTACTACGCTTAACATGTTTCCTCACAATTTACATAATGTCCTATTGCCTTCACTACAACACTTTATTTACTAAAGCCACATTACAAATCATTAACCTAATATTAATTGCTCTTGTCATCTACTGCTGCCAAACAAAACAGAGAGCAGAGGCCCAAAAATTTTCACCCTAGTGCTTCTTTAATTAATTTTGTCTCCTAGTGTTGCTCCTGGTACCGGGTCCATTACACAAACTCTTGTGTTTTAAGGTATTAAGTCCAAATTGGTACTAATTTCCAAGCAACAAGCCAACAATAGCACCATATCAAGATGTATGCACCTGAATTATCGATGTGTTTTCCAACAAACCTCCATTAAACTTTTTGACACAAGTTAAAAAGCGTAATTAAATTATTTTTACTTATAGATGATGCACACATTACAATTCTATTTCTTCACATTGCATTATCTTTTTGCTGGAAGATCACATTGGTAACAGCTTAGCATTAAAGCATATACTTCCATCACCCAAAGAAGACTCAAAAGGTCACAAATCTACAAACTTTACTCATTATACATAGGGCAAAACGGCATATTAAAGAGTTCAACACGGATATTGTAACAATCGAATAATATGAACATGATTTCCAACATTAAGATTTCGTAAACAAACCAACTTCATTCCATTAAGTTAACCAAAATGTGGCGCATTCGCATTTCACAATGGAAGTCACAAAGCACCTACACTCCTCATACTCAGAAGTGCAAAACGACATCAGCAATCTTGAAATTGTCAAATAAACAAACATTCCAACTATACAATTTTATGAATTAGGCAAATTCGATACATATATGTTCTATGTAACTGAAATAACAAGTACGATGAATACAATTCAAAATCAAATAACAATGCCTTATAATTCTAAAATCAATGAAACTATAACGGCACTATCAACTGAATAATAAAGTACAGTAATCACAATTCAAAAACAAAGAAAAAATAATAAAACGATTGAGATCGAAAGAGAGAAAAGAAAGAATACCAGAAGGATTGGAGGAGGTCAAGGGTCGAAATTGAGAGAGGCGAAGTGAAGGAGTAGGAAGGCGGAGTTGAGAGATCGGGCGTCGGAAAGGCGAGGCTAAGGTAGAAGTGTCGAGCTTGGCGATTGAGGTTGCAGCTGCTGCGGCAGCGGTAGCCATGGAGAATCTGTCACGGAGAACGAAGGATAATCGAGTGAGAGTCGCCACAATATGCAGAGAGAATGAAGGAGTGTGTTTGGGTGGAAACTCGTTTGCTGATATGTTTGGTTTAGTTGCTCACTATCTTTGGGTGGTCATTTCTATGCTTGGGAAACTCCGTCGGTTTTTTTTTTTTTTTTTACAAAGCGCTAAAAATCTAATACTTGTATCATATCATATCATATAATAACTAATATATAAAGTTAAACTTTTAGCCAGGTCACGAGGCATCGACACTTGGCGTTTTAACTTTTCGCCAAGTGTCGCGCCATGTTGGATAGATTTAAACAGACGTTTTAAAAGTTAATTTAAAATTCTATTTGGATATAATTTTAGCATAAAAATGTTAGTTTAGAGTTTTATTTTCAATAAAATACCAATATTTCAGAGGTATAAATTGAATTATAATTTTGTTAAAAATTTTCGATTAAATATATCAAATCGTCATAAAAGCACATCAATTCCTAACTAATTTTGTATCAATGATAAAATTAAAATTTTGACATATAGATTAAAATTTTATATTCAATAAACAACCCGAGCATCGCACGAGGCACAAAACTAGTATATATATAAAGGGGAGTTTTTTCTCGAGTTTATAGAGAGCTACATAGGATTTAATTTTTTTAGCGCGCCACGTAAGATAAACAATTTTAGTGGTACCCAATTAAATACGAGATTATTAATTTCTTTTAGAATTAAATAATTTAAATGACACGTAAGCATAATTGACGAATGGGGTTTCCCAGTTTAAATTAATTAAATATAAAATATGATCTTTTGATATCAGGAATTTTAGTGGTAGCCAATTAAATACGAGATTATTAATTTCTTTTAGAATTAAATAATTTAAATGACACGTAAGCATAATTGGCGAATGAGGTTTCCCAGTTTAAATTAATTAAATATAAAATATTATCTTTTGATATCAGGAATTTTATCTAAATATAAAAGAAATTTTAGCACATAAATATATTTATACTTATTTTTTTAAAAAAAAAATTAAACAAACCGTGCATCGCATGGGCTACATCTAGTATACTTTGTCTGTGTCATAATATAGTTCCAATTTTCCTATTTTGGAGATTCAAAATGTTGTTTCTCTATCTATTTTTGGATAGTACTCCGTATATAAATACCATTATACCCTTATTTTTTTAACTTTATTTATTGTACTTTTTAATTTACTCTTGACTTTTGCACATGTTTTGTACTTTTTTTCACTTTCTCTTTCCAACTTTACAAAGTTTCATATGTGGCTGGCCACACGGTGTGGCCAGCCACAAATTTTTTTATTTTTAAAAAATTATTTCTCTCTTCTCTCTATTCTCTTTCTCTCTCCTCTTTTCTTCTTCTTCAAGCCAGATCTCATTTTCTCAGAGAACGTAACACAAATTTCGCAATCGTCATCAATAGTCGTCTTCATGGTTCGTTCGTCGGTGGTTCGTTCGTCGGAAGTAGTGGTTTCACTGGGAGGGTAGTGGTGGTTTGGTGACTCCGCCGTCGGAAAACAAGTTCAAAGTTTGTAAGGCCAAATTCGGCCGTGAAAACTCTAGATCTAGAATTTTCATGGTCGAATATGGCCTTTTTAGCCATATTTGAAGTGATATTCAAAACCATTGTTAACATTTTAAGGTATTTGTTTGATTTGATTTTTTTTTAATGGTTTGGTTGGATAGGGGTTTGTTTGTGGGTTAGGGGCTAGTCGCAAGGCGTTTAGGTTGGTAGTGGTTCGTTGGTGGTGGTTGTTGGTGGTAGTTTTTTTGTTGGTGGTGGGTAAGGGGTTACCAGATCCGTTTAGGGGTTACTAGGTGGTCCGGTTAGGGGTTACTAGGTCGGAGGTCAGGGGTTACTAGGTCGGAGGTTACTAGGTCGGTTAGGGGTTACTTCGGGTTAATTACTAGATCGGCGGCCAGGGGTTACTTGGGGTTAATAGGTCGGGGGTTACTAGGTCGGTTAGGGGTTACTTGGGGTTACTAGGTTGGGGGTTACTAGGTTGGGGGTTACTAGGTCGGTTAGGGGTTACTAGGGGTTATTAGGTCAGGGGTTACCAGGTCGGATAGGGGTTACTAGGTCGGGGGTTACGAGGTCGGTTTGGGGTTACTAGGTCGAGGGTTACCAGGTCGGTTAGGGGTTACTTGGGGTTACTAGGTCGGAGGTTACTAGGTCGATTAGGGGTTACTAGGTCGGCCAGGGGTACTAGGTCAAGGGTTACTAAGTCAGTGAGGGGTTACTTTTGTCTTGGGGTTACTTTGTCGGGGAGTTACTTTGTCATTTGCTGATTTGACAACCTGCCGCATGGTGCGGCCAGCCGCACCAGAAACCCACTGTTCCAACTTATATCTATGATTATACTTTGGATTTTTTGACTTTTGCTACCTGTGAAACAACTCGATTTCAATTTTGCTACCCACCAAAACTTTTATTTTATTTTACTACCTAACATATGTACTTTTTTAAAATTTTGCTACCCGTTAATGAAATCTATTAGGGTTCCGTTAAGTTTATTATTTTTTTTAAAAAATAATAATACATTAAAAATTAAAAAATTAATAAAAAATAAATAAATAAACAGCCACCCCTCAACCGCCACCCCTTCTCTCCCCCCTGCCGGCGGCTGGCACCCAGAGTTTCGGCCGGCGCCGGTGCGCAAACCCACCCCTCCCTACGCAGCCCCCTTTCCCCCACTCCCTACGCAGCCCTGACCCCCCTTTCCCTACGCAACCCCGACCCCATCCCGAACCAAAAACCCCCCTTTCCCCTTCATCCATCACTGCCCACCTCAAGCCACCCACCCACCTCCCTCTTTCGAAATTGGTTCGACTTTGGGCATAATTCGAACAATATTGTCGAAATTGTTTTAGGGCTTTTGTTTGTTTACATTTGAATTGCAAAATCATGTATTTAATTGTTGTTTTCGTTTTGAAACCAATGAGTTTGATTCGAAAAAATTAAAAACCCTAATTTTTCCCCCAATTTGATTTCAAAATTTAGGGGCTTCGTTAAGGGGGTTCGAGTGGCTGGGAGGTGCCACAGGTGGGTCGCGGGTGGGTTGGGTCGCAGGTGGATTGGGTCGCGATGGGGTGTTGTTGCGACGGAGTGGTCTCGCATGTGGGTTCGTGAGCTGGGCATTTATAGGCTATTTCGTGGGTGGGTGGCTGGGTGCTTTCGAGGGTTTCGTGGGTGGGTGGCTGGGTGCTTTCGAGGGTTTCGTGGGCAGTGATGGATGAGGGTGGTGGAGGGAGGTGGGTGGGTGGCTTGAGGTGAGCAGTGATGGATGAAGGGTGGTGGAGGGACGTGGGTGGCTGGCTTGAGGTGGGCAGTGATGGATGAGGGTGGTGGAGGGAGGTGGCAGTTGAGGGGAGGGGTGGTAGGGGTGGCTAAGGAGGGAGTGGTGGTCGGAAGGTGGTAATGAGGGTGGCTGGATCTCATTAACGGATTATTAACGAATTCCGTTAACTGGTAGCGAAATTGAAAAAACGGGATTTGATAGGTAGTAAAATAAAATAAAAGTTTTCATAGGTAGCAAAAGTTAAATCGACCTATTTGACAGGTAGCAAAAGTCAAAATTTCCTTATACTTTTCATTTTTATTAATGTACTGCGTCTACTTTTTCCTCCTATTTATTAAATACCGTAAAAAATACAAACATATTCTATATTATGGCCTGGTACGGAGAGAGTATTACCTCCATTTTTTTAGTTGACACCATTTGATTTTCTACACTATTCATACACTACTGTCTAATAGGTACGATAAAATATACTAATATAGTCATGTGTAATCTTGTTTGAATCTTCTCAATGTATATTTTATTAATATCCACTTTTTATAATTTTATAATGTTGACAATTAGAGGTATTAAGGCCTTGTTCTGTTCACCTTATTTTCACTTATTTCAGGGTTAATAAGTTAAAATAAGTTCAGATAAGGGTTAATAATTTCAAATAAGATAAGTTCGGGAAAAATAAGTTAAGATAAGTAAAAATCAGGTGAATAGAACACACCCTAAGCGTTAAAAACATGTGTTGGTAAGCGTAATAATAAAAAGGTGCCAAAGTTTTCTATATAACGACATTGCGACACTTGGCGTTTCAACTTTTCGCCAAGTGTCACGCCACATTGGATAAATTTAAGTAGGGTTCATAAGTTAGTTTAGAATTCTATTTGGATAGAATTTTAGGATAAAACGATTAGTTTAGAGTTTTATTATCGATAAAATACCAATATTTCAAATGTAATTGAATTATAATTTTATTCAAAAAAAATTATTAGATTATAATTGTAGACACCCATTTGTGTCTCCCCAAAACCAAACCCAGTGATGAGTACCTTTCGCGACGAATCATAATCGAATGAAGTGAAAGTGTGGAAAGTTTAGTGTTGCGAATAATTTTAATTTCTTTTCTCTTCTCTCTGTTTTTGAAAACTTATTTTAAGAAAACAACCAATCCAGTTTGGTTGGTCCATGATATGGGTCCAATAGTAGTGTAGTTGGATGGGACTTGACAAGACCTTTCCAACGATATATTATAAGCCCAATTCCGATGAATATTGAGGAAGTTATGGCCAATTTACTGAACTGGGCCCGGTTTGAGCCTTATTTGCGGCCCAATGATCTAGGGGAGGGCCTAATATAGATTTATCATTCCTAATGCAATTATGAATGGTTTTAGTCTTCTAGAAGGTTCTTTTCATTCCTAATTCAATTAGCATTGATAAATTGACTTTTGTTGACTTTTCAGAGTTTTAATTAAAATCAAAAAGCATTTTTGAGGAAAATATACGATTTTATCCTCCTATACGGCAAAACTTATCTGATTTGAGAAAGCGCGTCGAAAACAAGCTTGGCGCCTGACTCCAGGCATTGGCGCCTGGCGCCAGTTAGCCAGGGTTGGCGCCAGCTCTGTTTCAGTTGCGCCAATACTCTGCTTTGTTAATTTTATCTTTTTGGCTGATTTTCTCTATAAATAACGACGTAAAAACTCCGTTTTCGTTCACCTACAATCAGTTTTCAATTTTCTCTTATTCTCTTTAATCATTCGCTAATTCTCATCAAGTTTTCTTTAATTATTTCACCATCTCTCTCTCTCTCTGTTTTTCTAAACTTGCTTTTTACATACAAAATTCCGCATTCATTAGATCTAGAAACACCTAGCCATATTCGAAGTTTCCTTCGCCCTAGACATGAAAGGTTTAATTTCTGAGGG